AACCCACGGCGGCCCGCTTAAAGTGAACAACATAACATATGGGATTAATTGAAATAGAGACCGGGCCGGCTCCCAAACTCCACTTTTTCAGACAATACCTACATTGTAGTAAAAATAACTTCTTAATTTATTGATGGTATGCACACAATTAATAATTAAGAGAAATATCAATAATATTAGGTTTTTTAACACTTACATTAGTAGAAAAGATGGCTGGGCACATGGGGATGGGGGGTTGGTTCCGAGGCAGAGGGCAGATTATTGGCCCTCACCTGTATCACTTGTATCAATTGTATCACTATCCACCACAGAGGCTTGCAGGGCCTCTTTGTCAAACCCCTCAAAGTCCATATCCTCACTATCATTATCACTATCACTGACTTGGGTCGGCTGTGGTGGGTGGCGGGTGAAGAACTCGGTAATGTTTTGATGACTGGGCGACCTTGTGCGCACCCTGCTTGCGCCGCTCTCCGCGTAAAAGGGTACACACACCGCGGAAAGTGAGCATTCCGGTTTCGGCAGGGTACCGCGTAAACATGGAAACGCGTAAAGTGGGACCGCGTAAAGTGGGACCGCGTAAAGCGAGGGTTGACTGTATAGTGAACGTGATGCTGATACTATTTCCGAGAGAACGCCTTAAAAATTTATAAGTGATTCACTGTATGGAAATAAACGATCCTCATAATGAGCCATATACTCTATGTAGGTCTGATAGCAGCCGCAGAAAGCCTGTTTGCTTTGATGAATTCAGAGGAGAATGACAAGGCTAATCCCAGGCATTAGGAACCTTGAGTACAGAGACAGGTTAAAGCATCTTAATCTGCACTCCCTCGAGAGACGAAGAGTGGGGCGATATGATAGAGGTGTATAAATGGAAGTCGGGGCTGAACAAAGGGGACATTATAAAGGTACTCAAAACTATCCAACCAGGAGCGAACTCGTAACAATGGTTTTAAATTAGACAAATTCAGATTTAGGCGCGAAATAGGTAAACATTGGTTTGGAAAAGAGTAGTGGAAGAGTGGGACAAGTTACCGAATATCATTAAAACTCGAATACGCTGGATAGCTTCAACATGGGTTGGATGGATATATGAGCAATAGGGGTTGGGTGTAAATGGGAATGCCCAGTATGGGCCAATAGGCCCGCTATAGTTTCCTTCATATGTTCTTATGACTGTTCCCTGATTCTTTCAGTCAAGAGGTAAGAATTTAATATGGACTTGTGGTTTACCTCTGTATTGTTCTTATGTAATAATGTAAGTCTAAGGGATGTAATGGTTTTAGTTTTTGCATAGCTATATGGATAAAGTATTAAGCTAGGATTTCATTCACACGTTTGCATTTTCAATCGCTTCGGGGAGTGATTGGCATGTACTGCAAACGCATAATACTACCACTACCGTGCCAATGGAAACAACTGTGTACATTTCAATGTGATCTATTTTTGGCACTAACGCTAACGCGTGAATGGAATCCTAGCTTGACTGTACTATCATTTTTCACTTGCCTAAATGTTCCTTCTATGTTTCAGTATTTTATAATCTCATTTTGTTATATCCTTTTGTTTCAGATACTATTGTATTGCTGTAGGACAGCAAAAAAGAGGAATAAAGCCTAATTAGGTACTGGCCAAAGACGATAATAAGTCTTTGGTACTGGCAAACTGTTTCATTACAACGGGTATCAACCACACCGTGTTATTGGAACCTGAGAGCAGATGACAACTACATTGTGTACATTTATTTCTCCAGTCTCAACTCTGTATAAAGCCATAACTTTATTGTCGATATGAAATACTTTTCTTTACATTGCATTTTCTGCTATGCTAAAAGGTAAATAATAACTGTGATATGTAAAACATTATATATTTTTTTATTTTAGTGAAATAGATCAAAACAGATCTTTATTGCCTCATTGGTTTCAGCTGTCAGGTTGCGAAGATTTGAACGTCATGTTGCTCTTACATAACATACTGTAGGCCTACTTCTTATTCCGGAGGAATATACAGTACAGTATCTTGGGGACAAGCAGATATTGAAAAGACATGGCTCAGACAACCCCAAAAACATGGTCTCCAAAAATCTAAAAAAAAAAAAAGGGGGGGGGGGGAGGTCGATGGACTAACAATTCGTTCAAATCAAGAGACATGAAACAAACGAATCATAAAATTTTAAGTAGAAAGGCATTGGTGAGAAAAAATCAATATACTGTACACTGAAGCGGCAGATACAAATTTAGCAAAGAAATTAGAATAGGCACTCGGAAAAATAATTGAAATAGAGTGAGACCGAATAAAGTTATATATATCGCGTCCAGATAAAATAAGGGATTGTAGGCCTACTGGTGGTTTTCAATGCGACTTGTGCAGAAACCTATCATCACGGTAAGGTTCCTGAGGATTCGATGGATGTTGTACAGTATTTTCGTTAATAAAATTCACCTGTCAAGAGTGAAGCAATGGAAGAATCATATATATGAAAATAAACAAATAATGAAGGTGGGAAGAGAGTTTACAAGTCGGAGAAGTCACACAAGTGCGAGTTGTGAGGTAGGTGGCTAGGAAGTGACCAGTTAGGCACCGACCCCCAGTGGAAACGCTCTGCTATTCCTTCGCCTGCGTCACTCCAGCGTCATGCACCTAGTAAGTCACTTAGTTGTTATAATTCGGATTTTTTTTTCAAATACATGGAAATTTAAAGTAAAATGCATAAGATCTTATTAGAAAGCATCAACGTTATGTAATTAAAAAAAATTCCGGTGGAAAATATTCCCGTGTGAAGTTGGTTATCTGCATCATTAAAGCAACATAAATTAAACATACACTGATGGCGAACGACGGTATTTGCAAAGAGACGTGGGAATCATCGCTAGGGTGACGTGTACTTAGTTATGTGCACGTTGACGTAACCTTTTCCAGCTGGGTGGACCGGGTAGGAAGGTGCCTAAGTTATTGTAAATGGTGAATTTTATGTTGAATGTTTAGGGCGAGGACGGATACATCATTTTATTCCCCTTTTCCCATTATAGTATGATCTACGGTTTTTTGAGGTCTGGGGTTCTGGGAATAATATAAAAATCTCACTGAATTATCAAGAGCCCCATGGAATAGCCGTGAAATGCTTAGAAAATAATCTTTTATGAGACTGACGCTGATATTTATTGGACAACTGCGGTGAGATACTTTTACCTTTATCCTCTTCACCACTGATCGGCTCGTTAGCCGCTTGGGCGGTCGGTCACGTATCTGCTACGCACTGTTGCGACTTGGCAAGTATTGAGCATGCACTGGCTCCTGAATACATCTGAACCTGCTCCAGTGCTGGTCAAGTGTGGTCTTGAAACCTCAAACTCATGCCGTCACAACTTAACGAGATGCGCCCACACGCTCTTGTCAAATAGCTACAATCAGTGATATGGGACCGACCGAGAGCCTCAGTGACAGATCCCCACCTCAGATGACCTTGTGGGGTATGGGATGTTTGGGTTCACACTCAGGATGGGATGGAGAAAGGAAACTCACAATGTGCTCTCTGTCCATGTTGTATTGGAACAATGCAGCTTGGTGCTGGGTAAGTGGCAGCATGGTTACAAGCGTGATGTAGAGAGCTGGTTGGTGAGGGTGCTCAGAGGAAGACAGCTTGTTGGTCGCCATGCTCGCCGGCGGGAGCGGAGGGGGAGGTGTTGCTTGCTGGTTGGTGTAGGTAGAAAAAAAGAGAGATCACCACGAGGTCAGGTCTTAAATAGCGGGGGGTAGGCGTGGCTTAGTAGTTGACCTCCGTGATGTATGGCGGCGCTGGTTGACCCAGACCACGAGGCATACACTGGGGAATTCGCGGGGTCGGCTACGCAGCGACAAACAGCGTTTGTAGGGGAGAAATCCACTACAACCTGTCACACCACGGGAAACAGTCAACACATTGATCTCACATGGACTGACTCAGCCTGTGACTAAAGGTTAACATCGTCATTGCTCCTGCTACACTTACCTCACTGCGTCTGACTAATAAAGTCAATGACGCTGGGCCTTTAGATGTTAAATTAGGTTGGGCGTGGCATTGAAGGCAACCATGTTTGATCTTCGGACATCCGATTTCAGAATGTCCTTCAATAAAAAAATTATGCGTCCTGCCCGATGAGGGAAAAGCAATTATGGAGCCCTACATTCCCTAGTGATGGGGAATGGAACTGCAACTACTTTCTAAAAAAAAATCTTTTGTAGATTACGTATGTATTATACCCGGTATCCGTACTTAATGAATTCGTACGCAGCTTATAAAATTGATCGGTCTTTGTTGGTGGTGTGAGTATCCACCGCCACAAGAAGGAAGCTCCTGGAGTGCTGCGCCTCGGGTGTTCAAGGTCTCACTCATGCGTCTTAATGTAGAATTCCCCTCAGAGGACATACTTATATCGTCTTCATAAGTTTGCTTAGTGTAGACATCGATATTCTTCTGTCTACAGTAATTACTTGTGATGCAGCTCTGAAACAACGCTATTGTTTTATGTTGCGGGCAGGCCCTAAGACATTTTCAAGTATACTGTACTGCCCTTTATTGTGATCACTTAATACTTGGTTTTACTTAACTTACTTCTTAACTTAGGGTCGCTGCCACCAGACCGCGAGACAGTATGTGTAGTGTTCTTTAGGTAGCTGGTAAGCAGTCAAGGCACTGTGAGTTGTTGTTTTTCATTAATCAAGTTGAGAGTGGAAGGAAGGGTGAAACACCAACCAGTATCCGTAACTAATTTATTTTACTTATTAAAAATATTGCATTCAGTCACAATACAAAAATACATAGTTGACCTTCCCCAAGCAATTATTAAGGTCACTGCACCACTAAAATACTCGACCTCCCCAATACTTCTCTCCATACAAAATAATTGACCTCCTTACCTAGGTCACGCCTTCCCCAATATCACCAAAATACTCAATATCACCTGAATAAGGAACATTCCATAATAAACACAATACATAAAGGACCTGTAGCTCATTCTTGGCACCAAGGTACACACAGCAGGTACCCATCTCATCCTCTACTCCTGTTAGGTAGATGAGATCCTTCGCAGACATTCATACCAGGACTGGTTCTGCGTCAGGTATCATTACGTCGCTAAAAGTAGCGTCAGTAACTCAAGTAGCACCAACATATCTTCCAATCCAGAATGCTGAAAGAGTGACATGTCCAGAGATCCTTAGGTGAAGTTGCATAGCGGTCTCAGGCATTATCCACAACACCAGGTGGGGTCCCCAAAGTACAACAGCGGTTGCTGGGCCAAGCATTCCCTCCGACCTCACTTGTCTGTATCCAAGGTACTAACCCTCACGCACTTGCTCGTATAAGATTCTGGGAATCACTGAGATGTAAACACTGTGCTTACTGGCCTGATGGGCCTTTGTATAGTTACGACCCTCCTTTCACCGCCTACCCAGCTTCCACCACTGGTTAACAATGGCCAAGGTCGTATGTACAGAAGCAGTAGAAATCTCACAAGTGTTATCGAATTACCACGACGATTGTTATCAGAGTACAGACAAACAACAAGCAGGTAGGTTTCCACCAGCAGAAACACATTTGTGCACTGTTGTCTCCTCTAATAGTCACTAATTTTTCACAAAACTGTTAACAGGGTAGTGGCTCACAGCTGGACTTATCACTTTGAATATATACTACGCCTAGCACAACCCAGACAGGGCTGGAAAGCTCTAGTAAATTCTACTCTGATCGAGGCTTACAATAAGAAGCAAATCATAAAACAAATGATGCAATACATTCTAGAATAATCTTATATATATATATATATATATATATATATATATATATATATATATATATATATATATATATATATATATATATATATATATATATATATTCAAGAAAATTTAACTAAATTTGACAAAATAACTGCTGCTTGGGACAAAATTATCAAAACACCCAAGTTACTAACATTATAAAACCAAATTATGCCTGTTGGCAAGTACTGGGCATGCACTGGCTCCTGAATGTACCCGAACCTGCTCCAGTGTTGGTCAAGTCTTGTCTTGAAAGAGCTCACACTCGGTGCCGTCACAACACTTTTTGGTAGATTGTTCCAAGAGTTCACAACTCTCGTCCCGAAAAAGTTTGTTCTCACTGTTTTCTGGACTTGCGGCTTCTTCAATCGTGAGCTGTGACCCCTTGTGGGGCGAGTGTCTGCCAGCTCCAAGTAAGGACACTCGACTGAGTAGTGCCCTTTGAGATGCTTATACACCTCAATTAGGTCACCCCTTGCCCGTCTGTAGTATAAGCTAGGCAAGTTCAGGCGCTCCAATCTCTCAGGGTAGCTGAGGTGCCGAAGTGCAGGCACCAATCTGGTGGGTGTCCGACTAATTACCCAAATGTAGCCAAATATAGCCGGAATGAAGTCAAATAATGGTCGTAGATGAATAAATCGGACTGCCAATCACTTCTTGACTAGTATTTGGTGTCAGAAAGTCACAAAAAATTGGAAAACTTACTTTAATCTGAGTTAATAGATCGCGTGCATGTACCGAGGGAGCGAGGAATTACCCAAATGTAGCCAAATGTAGCCGCAATGAAGTCAAATGATGGTCGTACAAGCGTAATTCGGGCTGTGAATCACTTCTCGATTGTTATTTGGTGTCATAAAGTAAAAAAAATTGGTAAACTTAATTTAATCTGAGTTGTGTTGTATTAGGTTAGGTTAGGTTAGATTAGGTTAGGTTAGGTTAGGTTAGGTTAGGTTAGGTTAGGTTAGGTTAGGTTAGGTTAGGTACATGCACTTGATCTATTAACTCAGATTAAATTAAGTTTACCAATTTTTTGTGACTTCGTGACACCAAATACTAGTCGAGGTTAGGTTAGGTTAGGTACATGCACTCGATCTATTAACTCAGATTAAATTAAGTTTACCAATTTTTTGTGACTTTGTGACACCAAATACTAGTCGAGAAGTGATTGGCAGTCCGATTTATTCATCTAGGACCATTATTTGACTTCATTCCGGCTATATTTGGCTACATTTGGGTAATTAGTCGGACCTGTCTGGTGGCCCTCCTTTGAACATTTTCAACCAACTGACAGTCCCTAGCATATCTCGGAGACTAGACGGGGTGACAGTACCCCAGATGGGGAAGCACTTCACTCTTGAAGATAGTTACGAGGGGTGGACCGTCTAGACATCTGAACGACCTTCTTATAAGACCCAATAATTTATTTGCCCGATTTACCTTCTTCTCGCAATGGCCCGAGAACTTCAGCTCATTGTTCAGCATACACACCGAGGTCCTTTTCACATTCAGTCTCTAATTAATGTAGTTTCTTCGTCCCGTTGGGACATACAGTATGATATGCCTCCTTACTGTTGGTATGTCCCAGGTGCCTACTCTTACACTTCATGACATTGAGTCTTAGCAGCCATTTCTTTGACCCTTCTTGGAGTTCACAGAGATCCTTCTGCAGCTCTTCACAGTCTGCTTGGTTCTTAATTTCCCAAAATAACTTGGCATCATCCACAAACATTTGTATGGAGGAATGTACAGCGCCAGGCATGTTATTTATAAGCAAACAAACAACAATGGACCCAATACATGGCCCTTTGGTAACCCGCTTGTTACGGGTACACATAATGATTTCGTGCCATTGATCACCACACACTGCTTGCGATCATGTAGAAAGTCTTTGATCCATGCTAGGATATTTCCCCGAATCCCTTACCCTTCCAGTTTAATTTTCAGCCTTTCATGGGGTACGCTGTCGAAAGCCTTGGCAAAATCTAGATATATATTGTCGATATTACCACCCTGTTCCAGAATATGTGTCCAAATATCCTGTACCTTGAGTAATTGTGATAAGCAGGAGCTCCCTGGCATAAACCGTGTTGGCAATCCTTTAAATGGTTGTTTTGTAGTAGATGTTCCATCATGGCATCTCTTATAATGCTCTCAAGTAATTTACATACTATGCTGGTCAGGCTCACCAGTCTATAGCTGTTTGTGGAGTGACGATCGCCCTTCCTGAAGATAGGACTCACATAAGCAATTTCCAATCACTGGGGACCTTTTGCTCATCCAGGCATTTACAGAACAGGATCTTCAGAGGCTCGGCAAGCTTGTTGCACAGCTCTGTTAGCACTCTGGGATGCACCATGTCAGGGCCGGGACTCTTATGAACCTTTAGCTTTGACAGTTTATTTCTTATAACCTCTTCTGTAAACACAATGTGGGTCAGTGCTGTGTCGAACCGCCTGTCCTCAATCGCAGGTAGGTTAATTGCATCCTCTCTTGTGAACACCGAGGAAAAGAAGCTGTTCAATGCCTCAGCTTTTTCCTGGCCAGAATCTGCATAACTACCATCTTCAAGTCTCAGGTCTGATACTCCTACTCGCATTTTTAATTTCAACTTTGCATAGCGGTAAAATGCGTTTTGGTTTGACGTGACCTCGCTTGCAACCACCATCTGGAACTCCTTTTCAGCCTTTCTACACTCTGACTGTTCCTGGCTCTTGCATACATCCTCCTGTCTTGCTCATCGTTTGACCTAATTCACGCTTTGAATTTCTGGGTTTTCTTCTTAACTTTGTTGGCTGCCACATGGTTCATGTGTAGGGGTCTCCTTGTATTCCTAGAAGCACTGGGTTTGGTCTTGGTTATATATTTATTGATCAAATGGTTCACTTTACTAACTATGGTATTCAGCGTAGTGTCTGCGTTCTTATACCTTTGTGAGTCAGGCCCGTGGATACCCCTCATCTCCTCCCCCATCCCGTCGTAATTTCCCTTGTAGTATTTGTACCTTGGCCTGGTTTTGTCATGAACTAGGTAACAGTTAAATGTGAAAGACAACATTACATGGTGGCTGGGGTCAACTGGGGCTAGATGCTCCAGTTTGGCCACCATACCCTCCTCGTTTGTTATGATGGGGTCCAGTAGCTTAGGTGTTTACTCCCCGCTGTAATGTGTCGGGTCTTTAACATGTTGGAACAAAAAATGATCTCTCAGAGTTTCTACAAAAAAGTAGTGGGATTATTTAAGTAATTTGGTGTGAACTTGTTTCTCCAGTCGATGTTGCCATAGTTAATGTCCCTCATGATAAGGAAGTGGTTAGGGTTGAGCATCACTTCATTGTCTATTAAGGCTCTTAAGTTCCTTTGGTTTGGGAAGCTACAGTTTGGGGATCTGTAGATACACCCGACAATAAGTAGGTCTCCTCCATTTAATTTAATTTTACATCACTTGGATTCTTCAAAAATATCCTCTCCATGTACCCTCACCTGGCTGGCTCTAGGGTCTTGCCCCTCTTGCAAGTTTCTTGAAAAAGGTTCATAAATAAGTCGTATCCGTCAATACTGAACTCGCATTCCTCTGGATCGATTCTCCTGTTCTTGTTCAACAGTTCTACAACACCCACTATATTGGGTTGGTGCACCTTCAGTAGTGTTTCAAACTCATCTCTCTTATCAAGGAACACGTCAGTATTAGTGTACATGACATTCAAGCCGGAATTTGTTCTCGGTAACGTCTCTGCTCTTGGTAGTAACTCTGGCCCCCTCCATTTTCAGCAGTTGCAGCTTTTGCTAAATACACTGTATTTTGCAGGGTGTGGCTAGAAATGTCATTGTATACACGGCGCTCGCCTCCTCCTGGTTGGGAGGTAGAGTGGGTGGAGGGTGTACCACTGCCCTCTGGCTCTGTGCTGGTGCTCTTGTTTCCACTACCCTCCTCCTGGATATAACCCAACCAGATATTGTAGGAGTTGTAGAACTGTTGTACGAGAACAGGAGAATCGACCCAGAGGAATGTGAGTTCAGTATTACTGGATATGACTCATTTACGAACCTAACTCAAGAATCCTGCAGGAGGGGTGTGGTTATCTACGCTAGGCAAGACCTTAGAGCCAGCCAGGCGAGGGTACAGAGAAAGGATGTTTTTGAAGAGTCCAAGTGGTGTAAAATTAAATTACAGGGAGGGGACTTACTGCTCGTCGGAGTGTCTGAATCGATACTCAGCAGATAATCCTGCTACTGAAACAAGCCTCATCATAACAAAAGAGAAATGTTGGCACCAGTCACCATACAGTGTTGTCATTCAGATTTAACTGTTACCTAGTTCAAGATAAGGCCAGGCCAAGGTGCAAATATTACAAGGGAAATTACAATGGGATGAGGGAGGAGATGAGGGGTATCAACTGGCCTGACTTATTAAGGTACAAGAACGCAGACACTACGCTGAATATCATAACTAGTAAAATGACCCATTTGATCGATAAATATATACCCAAGACCAAACCCAGTGCTTCTAATTACACGAGGGGATTCCTACACATGAACCATGCGGCGGTCGACAAAATTAAGAAGAAAACCCAGAAATTCAAGACGTGGGTTGGGTCAAACGATGAGCAAGACAGGAGGATGTATGCAAGAGCCAGAAACCAAGCAAAGATAGAGTGTAGGAGGGCTGAAAAGGAGTTCCAAAGGCTGGTTGCACGCGAGGTCAAGTCAAACCCAAAGGCGTTTTACCGCTATGCAAAGTCGAAATTGAAAACGCG